CATTGTGAGAACGTCATAGAGTGTACTTACACAAACCTAGATGGTGTAGCCTACTACACACCTAGGCTATGTGGTACTCATCTTATGGGACCGCCGTTGTATATTTGGTTCATCATTGGCCAAACTGTCGTTATGTGGTGCGTGACTGTAGTTTAAAATTGAGACAATCTAAATTGAGCCCAATGTGTTTTTAATTCAGCAGGGCTTATTACATGGATATAGCAGCTTCTGTATCACTTAGTTGTCTTCTTTTTTTTGTGTGTGAGGAAGATCGGCCCTGAGCTAACATCTGCCACTCCTCCTCTTTTTTTGCTGAGGAAGACTGGCCCTGGGCTAACATCCATGTCCATCTTCCTCTACTTTATATGGGACACCGCCACAGCACGGCTTGACAAGTGGTGTGTTGGTGCGCGCCCAGGCTCCGAACCGGCGAACCCCAGGCTGCCGCAGTGGAGCGCATGCACTTAACCGCTTAAGCCACTGTGCCGGCCCCTGTATCACTTAGTCTTAATGAATGACTGACACCACCTACTTGTAGTTACAGATTGCTAAATTCTTAGATATTAACTCATTTTCCTAGGACAGCTGCAGATTTTGAGTTGTTTTTCTACACCTGATGATAGAGTGGTAATAATATTATTATTAATAGTTATCATTTCTAAGTGCTTTACAAATATTAACTCATTTGATCCTTGCAACAGCCCTAGGAGGTATGATTCGGCACAGACTCTAACTCCACTGGGAGCCTGAACCCAGAAGGCTGACCGGAACCCCCAAACCAGCTGAGACCTTCCCTCTGGCGCCCGGCTTCATAGCCGTGTTCTACTCACACTAGGTGTGAGGCTGTGAGGAGTGGCAGGTCTCCCCTCTGGAAGGGACCTGCCGCTCCCTGAAGTGGGGGTTCTCTTGAGCATTCAGGTTCTGTCCTAGGTGCGTCCAACTCCAAAACCTGCAGTTTCTTTGCCCGAGGACAGAGGCGCAGGAGCACAAGGCCTGGAGCCTTGATGGAGATTTACTGGGGCACCAGGAGACTAGTAAATGCTCTGAATGCAGCCCCAAGAGCCAGATTCAGTGTCTGTGGCTCCCCATGTGATGGGAACTCGTGGTGGGATTGGAACCTTGGAAGGCAGGGGTCCCAGCTCTCCAGTGATGAGTGCTGGAATGACAGAATTGATGACTTGGAACCACTGCCATCTGCAAGCCCCCATCAGGCCTCTGGTTGCATCTTTTGCATATCTCTGCATACTTGATTAATCTGCCAGGGATCTTCTTTTAGGCAGAATTGTCATTTGTTGATTTTTTTTTTTTTTTTTAAAGATTTTATTTATTTTTATTTTTTCCCCCCAAAGCCCCAGCAGATAGTTGCATGTCATAGCTGCACATCCTTCTAGTTGCTGTATGTGGGACTCGG